GAATCTACTAAAACACGCTTAACTTGAATTTTATTTAATAAGATAGAGATTACCGGAGCGTCATTGTGAGGCTAAGAAATTCCTTCTACCTCCTCGTCGTTGAATGATATGGTGCCTTCTGGCACATAGTCTCGGGTCCGTTTCTCCCTAGTAATTGATACCTTAGTGCATTTGAACACGGACCCTTGTGGAATATCGACCCCTCCTATGATCATATGAATTACATGTTGCGGCTCCTCTTGTTCAATTTTCTTATTGGCGTCCCTTTCCCTGAAATGATTCTTGACTCGATCACTTAGGAATTCTCGAAGGTTGCCCTCATTGAATAAACGGGCTACCTCCTCTCTCAATTGCCTACAATCCTCGGTCCTATGACCATGCGTGCATGATATTTACTCATAAGATTGGGGTTTTTTTGGGAAGGATCGGTCTGTATGGGCCTAGGCCATCTGGTGTCTTTGATTCTTCCAATTGCTGATACAATGCCTGACGCATCGACACTAAAATTATACTCCGATAATCGAGGTGCCTCTATGGGGTCAGTGTACTTGTCAAAACCATTTTTGCTCATGAGTCCCCAAGAATTCTATCCTCGATCGCTTCTCTGATCGTTCCGGGAGTGATTGCGTCCTGGATCATTGTTCCTGCGATTTGAGGTGTACGGTTGATATCGGTCTTTGTTCGATCTTGTCTCTCTATCGATGTCCCTCTAATTTTTGGCAGCTGACATGTTCGGGTGCACTGAACCGGAAGGAGCTCCTAATTGGTCATCCTCGACCCTGATCTTCGATTGGTACCGATTGTGTACATCTACCCATGTTACAGCCGGATATTCGATCAGATTTTGCTTCAGCTGACGTGATCCTATTGAACTTTGTTCATTCAATCCCTAAGTGAAATCTTGAACGGCCCAATCATCTGTGACCAGTGGTAACTCCATGCGTTCCATTTGAAATCGGGATACAAACTCCCTCAACATTTCATTATCCCTCTGTCTTACTTTGCAAAGGTCCGATTTCCTTGTCGCAACCTTTATGGCTCTGGCATGTGCCTTTACGAAAGAGTCTGCTAACATGGCAAACGAGTTGATGGAATTTGGTGGTAGATTGTGGTACCAAATCATTGCTCCCTTCGATAGGGTTTCCCTAAACTTCTTCAATAAAATAGATTCGATCTCATCATCTTCCAAATCGTTACCCTTGATGGTGCATGTGTAGGAGGTGACATGCTCGTTGGGGTCAGTGGCCCCATTGTATTTAGGTATGTCCAGCACTCAAAACTTCTTTGGAATGGGTTTCGGAGCCGCACTCGAAGGGAACGACTTTTGTACAAATTTCTTTGAATCCATCCCTTTCAAGATTGGTGGTGCCCCTGGTATCTGATCAATTCGGGAGTTATATGTTTCCACTTTTTTATCATTAGCTTCAATTTTCTTCTCTCCTGACTCAATTCCTTTGGTGAGCTCCTCGAGTATTTTCATTATTGCAGGATCAGTCCCCGATTCGTTACCATTCGACCTTTCTAGTACTGGCTCGGTATGGCTAGTGATTTCAGGCTCAACCCCACTCGGAGTTCTATATTGATTTTGTAACTGAGCAATACCGGCCTGCTGAGCCTGTAGCATCTCGAATATCACCTGGAGACTAACTCTTCCGTCTCCTCTGCCCTGTGTACCTTGGCCACTAGATTGGCCCTCTCTGCGTACACTCCCTTCGGGGTCCGCACCTAGGTCTGTATTTAAAGCAATGTGCGAACTAACATTGACTGGATTGACAACCAGTTGTCCCCCGAGATTAGCCTGTGGCACTTCGGCTTCTTGAGCAATTACATTATAGTTTTCCCCATGAAACCCGAGACCATCTTCACCATGTGTGGGTGCGTTTTGTGAGTTTGACATGTTTTAACCTGAAAGCAAATATACTTGACAAGAACAAGCATAAAATAATGTGTGTTATCAGAATCAACACCAAATAATCACTATTATTCTTAGCCCCACGGTGGGCGCCAAACTGTTTACCCTCAAATTCGGATAACAATTAAACTTATATTGTAGTTTTAAGGATGTGTGATTTTGTCAAATACCATTTGATAAGCAAAAAAATAAACAAATAAATTAGAGAATAAAATAAATCAAACCAGTATGCTAGCCAGGTCTCGACCTCGACTTGGGATAGTCTCGAGGTGGTATAGTATGAACAATAAATGATAAAGCAACTTTGATGAACAGTAAGTGAAATAGCAAGAAAGTAATGAGTGTATAAATTCTTATCAGTGAACAATGATGTTTACAAATGAGTAGGATCTACCTTTATATAATAGAGGAGTCCTAAATAAGGTACACTTATAATTATAGTAGAAAACTATATTAACATCAATTAACCACCGTGGATTGATCCATTCCGAGATTCACGCGACAATCCTCGACCAATCGCGGATATCTCGCCTTTTCTGTTATCAAGCTATACCGATGTCATTTAGAGTCTGTCTCTCTCTGGCCGCGATTGACGTCGACCTTGGTCCGAAAAGAGGCTTCGATTCCGGACTCGACGTCCTAGCTCCTTGACGCAACATTCCCACCTCGACCAAAAAATAAAATCGGATAGCCCCGATTTCTGCCGTGTACACTATCCATTCTTTGACATTTCTTGCCCTCATTAATTTTCTTTTCATCTCTCTGTCTGTCAAGATTCACGCTGCTTAATGATTATTCTTCATTTGATCCCTTAAGTTTTGCATATTTTCCCATTTTTTCTTTAAATTTGTTTTGGTTTGGTGCACTGAGGTCAATCATCAATTTCTATTTTTATTTCAATGTAGTGGATACAATTTCAGGTCTGAAGAAAAAAATTGAAAATTCATGTGAGTTCGAAATTCTAAATTTGAATTTTCGTGTGTATGTTTGAAGTATTTTACTACTGAAATTCGTTGAATGTTGTTCTTTGATATGTAGATTGAAATTTTGAGATTTGCTATAAATCATTAAATCCACCATTGGAGGATATTTAAGCTTGAAACTCATAAACTGGGATGTAGTTATTTCGAGCCGATTTTAGCTGTAAAGTGTTTAAAATATTGATTTGAGGTTGTGGCAAAATTTTGAGTCAATTTGGTGGAGATTTTGAAATAGATTTTTGAATTTTGGGTTGAAAATGTGGTGAACTAACAAAGAAGGGGAGTTTGTATTGTGTACCAAAAAAATATACTATATATCATTTTGGTACACACTAATTAATTGAAATAATATACAATTAATTGTAACAGTTTACAGTATAATGTAGTAGTATATAACTCATCGAAAAACACGAGATACCATCTAGATGATCTGTATGACATTTTAGTATATAATATAATTCAATAGTGTACTACTATAGTATACAATATAATGTATTATTATTATTATTATTATTATTATTATTATTATTATTGGATTCTTTTTTAATTTTTCGAAATTTTCAATTGGATCCTATTTAAAATTTTAAAAAACTTCTCATGCCTTTTAAAGATGTTATTCTTAAATGAAGTATGTGATGGAGTTCCATGAAAGTAGTATTTGCTATATTATATATATATATATATATATA